AGTACACCTCAGGCTGGGCGCAGCGACGACGGCAGCAAACAGTGCCTCCGCTTCTGCTGCTGCTGCTGCTGCTGGAAGTGCTGCAGCGGCCACTTCTGCAGCGCGTCTTTCTGCAGCAGAACGATATCCTGCTGCAGCTCCTCGAGCTCTGTTGGCGCGTTACACCCATATCTAAACGGCAGAAGCAAACGCAGCAGCACGAAGAGAAGGAAGAAGAGGAACGAGAAGGACGAGAGCAGCAAGAGGAAGAAGAGGAACGAGAAGGACGAGAGCAGCAAGAGGAAGAAGAGGAACGAGAAGAACGAGAGCAGCAAGAGAAGCGTGATCATCGCCAGAAGTGTAAGCAGCGATGCGCTGCCTGCCGCATGCGTCGGTGCCTTCTTCCAGAGCTGTGTGAAGCGTTGAGCACTACTCCGCTCTGGCCCTTGCTGCTGCTTGGAGGTTTCTTGCTGCTGCAGCTTTCTCCTGAAGCGTCGTCGGCTGCCATTGCAAAAGACAGCGAGGCAGGACGCCTCACGCTACTGCGCCTACCGCGTAAACATGCGCATTCGCAGCACCAACAGGGCAGCTGGCAGCTGATGCAGCGATTTGCATGCCAACTTCTTCTCAAAGCGCAGCATCTCCGGCGAGCTCTTGCTGCTCTTGCTGCTGCCGGCAAGAGCAAGAGCACCACCAGCAGCAAGAGCAGCACATTTGCCCTTCAGACAAGTATGACAGAGCTGCGACAGACGTATTTAGAGTTGTGGTGCACTTTGAATGATTGGCGATTTGAGCAGCAAAAAGCGGAGACGCAGCAGCAGCAGCAGCAGCGAAAGCAGCAAGTCTTGCTGCAAATAGGCTTTTTTACAGCGTGGGTGGGTGCCAGACGACAATTTTGCTTGCGTCAGGGCAGCAGCAGCAGCAGCAGCAGCAGCAGCACTCAGAGGCAGCAGCAACAGCAGAAACAATTGGCATTCCTCCTCTCTGCTCTAGAGGGGTGGGCAGCCTCTGTAGAGCCTCAGACAGTGCTGCAGCTTGCTGCTGCTGCTGCTGCTGCTGCTGGTCCTGCAGCAAACAGCGCTGCTCTGCATGCGCATGCGCAAGAAGGCTGCAGCAAGGTGCAGCAGCAGCAGCTGCTGCAACCGCATCACGGAGAGGAGCAGCCACAGCAGCAGCCACAGCAGCAGCAGTGGCATCTTCGGGTGGCTGGAAGTGCAGTTCTTGCGGCTTGTGCTACGCCGCATCAAATGATTGCTGCCGTACCAGTTGCGCTGGGAAAGAAGCCTCCACACACAGCGGCACTGCTGCCAGCAGAACGTGCTGCTCTACTGCTGCTGCAGCTGCTGGAAGGCAGCAGCCACGACATGCGCAAGAACAGCAGTAGCAGCAGCAGCAGCTGCTGCTGCTGCTGCGAGACAGATTCTTTCCAACAATTAGCGCTTCAAGTGCGGCAGCAAGGATCTGCTCAAGAGCCTCTACACTGCAGCACAGGCAACAGCAGGGAGGTCTTGTACTTGGCATTGATGCGCTTGCTCTTGCTGCGAGAGCAGCGTCTACCGATTTTACAGTCTTGTGATAGCGCCAGTCCACGTTGCTGCTCCCTGTGCTGCGTTGTGCAGCAGCAGCAGCAGCCTCTTCTTCCGCACGTCTGCTGCTGCCGCGGAGTAGAAGGATGCAGCCTGTTGTTTCTTGTGCAGCTGCAGCAACGCGTATCTGGTGCGCTGCCTGCTCCTATTGCGCTGCATGCAGCAGCAGCAGTCGCAACAGCCGAACCAGAGCTGCCCTTGCCGCTGCTGCATCTCGTGTCGCCTTTAGTCCATCAGCAGCAGCAGCAGCAAAAACAGCAGCAGCAGCCAAAACAGCAGCAGCAGCAAAAACAGCAGCAGCAGCAAAAACAGCAGCAGCAGCAAACAGGAAGTTCGAAAGGCTCTAGCACAACCGATGTGTGCAGAAAATGCCGTCAAGTGGCGCTGCTGCTGCCTCAATCAGCAACAGCAGCTTCCGCACAGACGCCAGGCAACACATGCAGCAGCAGCATCAACAACAGCAACACATGCAATACATGCAGCAGCAGCAGCGGCACTGACACAATGGCATGCACAATGGCATGCATCGATGCGTTGATGCCTCTGGATGCGCAGCAGCGGCTGCAGCCGCAACAGAAAGAGAAGCAGCAATATCAGCTGGTATTACAGCACTTGCTTCTAAGTCGATGTATGCTGGATGAAGCTGAGCGCCTTCTTCCTCGTGCGTGGGCGCAGCGGTGTATCGCTGCTGATCTTGGCAACGCTGCTGCTGTTGCGCAGCATGACAGCTGCATGCAGATATTGCTGCTTTTGTTGTGGCGGGAAATTCGTGCAGACGAATGCCTTCCTCTGGAGAGCTGCCCGCATGCGGCGTGCCCTCTTGAAGAGGCGCGCATGCAGCAGCAAGAACGCCAACAACGACTGCAACACGGGCGCTGCATCTGTGGCAATGTCTGCTGCATCAAGAGCACAAATACCAGCAAAAGCAGCGGCAGTTGCTGTCGCCGACAGTCCGTATACACGTATCGAGGTTTCTTAGCCTCTCGGCTGCTGAAGTTGTGGCAGCAACAGCAGCACGACTCTTCCCTAATGCCGCTGAGCACTTTGCTGCAGCTCTTAAGCAAAAAAGCTCTCCGAACGCGCAGCAGAAGCAGCAGCAGCAGCAGCAGCAGCAGCGAAACGGCCTTTGATTTGTGCGAATTCGCGTCGCGCCTCTGCCGATTCGCTGGCTTCCGATTGCTCTGCTGCTTCCTGCAGCCACGAGAAAGATGGCTGCTGCTGACGACCCTTCAGCAGCAACATAACCAACAGCAACAAGAGCAGCAACAACAAGAGCAACACATGCAGCAGCAGCAGCAACAAACGCAACAGCCACAACAGCAGCAACAAGAGCAACAGCAAAAGCAACAAGAGCAACAGCCACAACAAGAGCAACAGCAGAAGCAACAAATGCAACAACAAGAGCAACAACAACAAGAGCAACAACAACAAGAGCAGCAGCAACAGCAACAAAACTCGCCGCCAGTGGCACAGTCTGAAGGTTTGCAAAGTACAGCAGATACTGCCTGTGCAACTCGCTGCCTAAATGCTGGAGCTGTAAGGATGAGAAACAGTCGGCAGCTTTCACGCAGGCGCATTCGGTTGCCTGCACAGATTGAACTTCTTGGGTGGCTGCAGGCAAATCCGCAGCAACAGTATCATCATCAGCAGCAGCAACAGCAGCAGCAGCAACAGCAGCAGCAGCAGCAACAGCAGCAACAGCAACAGCAGCAGGTCGAGAGTGCGACACCTCTTCCCTCAATGTACTGCTGCAGCAGCAGCAGCTGCTGCAACTGCAGCGTGGTAGGAGCAGCGCAGGCTGCTGGTGCGCAGTCTGACGCCACGAGATTGGCCATCGCATCCGAAGAAGAGGCTGCAGTTTTTATGTCAGATCCTGCTGCTGCAAGCAACGAGCAATCTGACCAGGAAGCACTTCAGGAGTGCTTCGTCCTTCAAGGCACAGAAGGAGTGCTACGACTGCTATTTGCATTGCGTGCCTGCTGCAGCAGCAGCAACAGGAAAAGCAGCAGTCGCGCCTACGGCAAAGCGCTGCGGTGTATAGACAGCTTCGAGGACGCATGCATTGATCTGTTGCTGCCGGGAGGCAGCCTTAGCCGCCGACATGCAGCTGCTGCTGAGGCGCGCACCACCGAGGCAGCAGCTGCAGGTACAGCTGAAGATGGGGCAGCAGCAACGACAGCAACGTGTGCATCAGCGGAGAGTGCCGATGGCGATTGCGTGAGTACACAGAGCAACCGCAGCAGCAACTGCAACGACAACTGCAACGACAACTGCAGCGACAACTGCAGCCGTAAGAGTGATGAGGAAGAGAGCACCAGTGGTGTGGGGTGTGCTGGAGCTCCTAAGCCTGCGCCTCAGCTTTGCCAGCATCTTGAGAAGCACCCGCTGTATCCGCAGCTGTTGCGGCTGCTGCTTCAGCATCGCATGCAGCGCACTGCACCCGTCGATTTGCCGGCATTTTTCGGATATGTTGCATCGCGCTGCTGCTTATGGCCTCCTAGTGCTGCTCCTCTGCTGCTTGGTGTCTTGAGCTGCCTGACGAGAGCAGCTGCAGCAGTTGCTGCCGCTGCGGCTGCTGACGCAGCAGCAGCAGCAGCTGCTGCTGCTGCTGCTGCTGCTGCGAGGACTCGCCGCGAGTGCAGGCGTACGACGCCTGGTGGCAGCAGTTGCAGCATCCATGTTTGCTGCAGCCTCCTAAGTGGACTGCGCCTAGCATGCATTGATTTTGAAGCCCTCCCCGAAGAGCTGCAGCAGCAGCAACACCCAGTCGGAGAGGAGTTCGTTGGGCGGCTGCTGCAACAGCTGCTGCTGCTGCTGCAGCAACAACAGCAACTAGGAACCGTTATCTACGGCTGCTGCTACGACGAGCTGCAGCACGTGTCGTTGCTGGTGCAACAACGACAGCAAATGCAGCAGCAAATGCAGCAGCAAATGCAGCAGCAAGATGCTCAAGGCCTACTGCAGCAGGAGGCTTTGAAATCCTGTGCTGCCCTCCTCCGGCACATAGAGGCTGCCAAGAGCAAGTGGGAGGCTGCAGAAGCGACTGCAACGGCAGCAAGAGGCGTTCTTGTTCTCTGCGCCGATGCGGCTGAAAAGCTGCTTGCAGGAGCTGCTAGCAGCAGCAGCAGCAGCAGCACGGTCACGACTGCTGCTGCAGTTAAGCAACAAGTCACCTTGCTCCACGAGTCTGCCGAGCGCTTGCAGCTGCTGCTGCAGGCAGCTTCAACACAGGGGGCGGAGCTGCAAAGGCAACTGCTGCAACAGCAGCAAATTCAGCAGCAGCACCACATGCAGCAGCAAGAGGACAGCAGCAGCGCGGAGGAGACGGGCTTTCTAGACGAACTTGTAGACTACGAAACGAACGACCCTCTAGAGCCGTACCTCCGCTGCCACCTGCCGCAGCAGCAAAAAGCCAGCAGCAGCAGGCACAAGGCGCTATTGCAAAATCGCCATTTGCCAAATGCTTGGGAAGCTTTCGTCCGCGGCCTCTGCAGCAGCGGATTTAGGGGTTGAAATCGCTCTAAAAGGGGATTTACGCGGAGAAAATTCGAGAGCTCTGCTAAGAAACTTTGAGCCATGCGAGGAAAGCTTGTTGCATTTCCAGGCTCCGTAAGATGGGGCCTCGCGAGGAGGAACGTATATGTGTGAACTGAGAGCCTCCATGAGCAGCTCGCAGCATCCTGCGAACTAGGAGTTGCTGTGTCGTACATTTCGTAGACAGCATGGGGGGAAGGGGGGCGAAGGGGGAAAGGTTAGGTGAACAACTTTTCTAGATCTCCCTCCTAGCATGTCGCGTGTCATGCGCCGGAAAAGACAAACGCAACTTAGAGTTCAAGTACGAATTCAATTAGGTTTACTAGGACATGCGGCTTCGAGAAGCTGTATTCTGTAATGCGGATCGAAAAAGGCTCTGCTAGAAACCTGCGCGACATACGGGAGGAGGTGTCTAGACACCCCAGCGAGCCATTTGGGCGCGGATGCTGCAGCGGCCGCTGCTTCTGCGGCCGCTGCAGCAGCAAACTGCCCCTCTAGTCTCCTATTTACAATTTGCAATTCTTCGCGCCGTCGGAGCAAAGTGGCAGCTACGAAAGCCTCTGCTTCCAACATAAGCCCCACAGGGCCGCTTAGCTGCAGACGTTGCTGCGCCTCCAGCTCCAGTTGCCGCCGTCTCTGTTGCTCTTCTGCAGCAGCCACCGCTCGCCGCTGCTGCACGCGTTCCCGCATCACCTGCAGCAGCGGAACATACATGGGGCACGTAGCGTAGCAGCCGTCCTCCGGCACATGCCAGAAGAGGCTTTCGCCAACCCCAGCAGCCGCTGCTGTTGCTGCTGCTGCCGCTGAAGGGCTGGTGCCTCCTCCTGCCGCAGCAGCCGCGGAACTCTCCGAGAAGACCAAAGGGGCATCTTCTGGCATCGGAGGCGTCCCTGCAGCGGGCAGCGCATGCTGATGTGTGGGAGAAGAAACACCTCGGTGCTGCAACAGCCCCTCCGGTGGCTGTTGCAGCGCTGCTTTCAGGTAGGGCGATGCATCGCGGTCCCGCAGCAGCCGCTCTACTTCGCTTTCGTCATCAGCTTCCCAGCTCGACAGTTCCTCCGATACTCGTGCGCGTGCACCGCCAGCTGCCGCAGCAGGCAGAGCGCCCGACGAATAGCAGGACCAGGCGTAAGGAACGGCATGCATGGTAGCTAAATTCCTTCTTAGGAACGCGAAAACCCCATTGTATTCCCCCGGCAACTACTTTTCATTCATGCGAAGCCGACACCCCAGCTTGTGATCCGGCAGACCCTGTCACGGCGCGCTTTCGCGTGCAAGGGGTACTCAGGAGCCAAGCAGGATGATTCACGCTGGATTGAGTATATTTCTTGCTGGAATGCATGTAGTAGTGGCACCTTTTGCGCTTTCTCAAGTTCGCTGCTGCTGATCCGGCGCTGGCCAGAAAGCCCCGTATATACACCGCAAACCCAGCGACAGCGGTAGGGCAGTAACAAGTGTGTGTATATCGCCCCCATTCGTTTTCCCTTCTGTTTTAGACTGTATCGCGCATACTTCTGGCAGAGCAAGAAGTTCACATCTCGATGGCCGACGCTTGCCCTTGGTGTTGTTCTTCCCTGCGAGTGCCGTTCTTGCGTGAACTTGCGGAGCAGCAACAGCAGCTGCAATTGTAGCCGTGTTCTGGAATCTCTCTACATTGCTGCTGCTCGAGCTGCAGCCTCCCTTCGCCAAACTTTGCACTGTTGCCCGGATCTCAATTACTCCTGAAGGGATTTCGAGGGGCGCTCCCTGCTGCTGCTGGCGCTCGGGCGAGTAGTGTAACAGCAGCAGCATGGCAGCAGCAACGACGCCTCAGCAGCAGAACGAGACTGCCAAATGCGGTGTTGCGCTGGTCAAGACTGCAGCCTCGCGAGCAGCAGTGGGAGGCTGCCGTGACATGCGCATTCGCTGCCGCAGTAACAGCACAGGCAGTACTGTGGATCCGGAGCCACCTGAAACAGACGTGCAGCTGCACGCCGAGCGTCGACAGCAGCAGGAGGATGCAATCGTCGCTGCTGCATTGCTGAAGGCCTTACAACATGTGCCTCAGTACTTGAAGCTCCCCCCTGCTGTTGCAGCCGCCGCGGGAGCAACGAGCAGCAGCGACAGCGAGCAGCAGCAGGAGCAGCAGCAGCTGCTGCTCCTGCAGCAGGTGCTTCAGGGCGACCTCATAAGGGGTGGCACGACAAATACGATCGTGCGAGTCTCGAAACGAGGCACTGACCACCCTTGCTGCCTCGTCCGCTTCTATGGTTCGCCGAACCACCCCTCCCACATTAAAGGCCTTAAAATCTGTGGCACAAGCTCGCAGACTGACTTCCATACACGCCCCTTCATGCTCTCCTGTTTCCTCTGTTAGACTCCTTCCCACGCACAAGACACACTGCAATAGCCTCTTAGCAGTCGTCGCGGAGGCAAGCGGCCCCATAGAGATCGCAAGCCTCCAGCATGGGGTGTATGCATGCAGGGAGAAGCACCTCTTTGTGGATAAACAGGCAACGCGAGTGCGCGATTCTCAGGCTACTAAGCCACCAGGGGAATGGCAAGCAGACGCTTGCTTCTTTTGCAGTGAGTGCAGATGCGAGTGGACGCAAGAGACTGCCCCACAAAAGTGCTTTTCCGCAGCGTCGCGCTGTAACAGGCCTTTTCGACATCATTACCACCCTGCGCACAAAGGACGGATCCACTGACACAAGCCTGTGCTGGCTGCTGCTGGTGGTAGACAAGCAGAATGTGCATGCAAAAATGCATGCATTATATGCATGCAAAGATGCATGCTTGTACGTCCTTCCTGTGTGTAATCGCTCTGCGGAATGCAGGGTGGCGTCATCGAATCTTGGCTCCCTGGAAGCCCCTTGACAGAGAAGTCTTTGCGATTTTCTGCGGAAGCTATTGCTAAGGCTCTTGCAGATCTTCACAATGTCTCGCTACACCCCACGCACCCTGAATCTGTGCGGCTTTCTGCACTTTTTCCACATCCGAAGAGGTCTTTCATAGAGCCTCACTGCGGGGATAAATAGCCTCGCCTCTCTCTCGTCTGCCCTCCCGGTGTTTTCGCCTCTCTGGTACCCACCTAGACGGCATTTGCTCATGACGTCTGCTGCAATTGCGAATGCTGCGTTCTGCTGCAATTGCTAATGCTGCATTCTGCTGCAACGGCGAATGCTGCATTCTGCACGGGGTTGTGGTCTGTTTGTTAGGTGCCTGTGTTTTCCTGCGTGCCTCTACCGATCGTAATCTACCTCTCTGTGCCTTCGTCTGTTTGTGTGTATCAATCTGTTTGCTTACGCTGGTCGGTATATATGCATGTGCCTTTCTGGTTATATGTCTCTGTCTCTCTTTTTATGTGTGTGTATGTGTGTGTGTGCAAAGGTAGTCTGTATGTGTATGTGGAGATGGATCCATGGCGGATGGCTAGATAGATAGATAGATGGATAGATGCTTATCTGTTGGCTCTGCAGAGACTGATTACTGAATTCGACGCTGAAGGGAAACCTGTGTCTTCGCTATGGCCGACCTTACGAAACTTTCTCAATGTGTAAGAGGACGTTTCAGGGGATTTTTGTGATCCGTCGAATCGTGTTTTTCGGAAATATGTGTATTCGTGCCTGCGCGAGAAGAGCAGCTTATTGAGGTGCTGCTTCATGTGTGGTAAAGCATGTGCAGACTAGGAAGCGGGCAGCTTTTTCTTTCTGCGAGGTTGCTGTTTCGGTGTCTGCAGCTGCCTCTCGGAAAGGCAGAGAGCTCTTTCTGGCACAGCTAGCGACTGTCTCCTGAAAGAAGACTTCGCCCAACTTGCCGAAGTGAGTGCTGTCGGCTCATGAGTCTGTACCTGCAACTTTGAAGGCTGTTGCCTTTTGCATGTCTCCAACCCTGAATTCATGTATATCAACATTTGTGGGTGGGCATGACTTTCCTCGTGTAAATGCGTGTGTGTGTATGTGCGTGTCTATGGACTTATCGCTGTTTGTCCTTCCTTCTCTCTCTTTCCCACGTGTATCTCTGGCTGTCTTCCTTCCCTCTGTTTCGTTCTCTCTGTGTGTACTATGTATGCATCCATGTACAGAAACAAGTTCGTATTGCGCCTGTGTCTGCGTTTAAGATTGTAACATTTTTAGAAGGCATGGCGCGAGGCAGAGGCCCTGTAGTGCTCTGCCACGGGGATCTTTTGGGTGGAAACATCATCAAGCAACCGGACGGTGAGTGCGTGCCTTCACTTCGTGTTTTGGTGGTTTCTGCTTGTTCTCAAGGGCTGCTGCTGCTGTCGCGCTACATGCGCCTTGTTATTTGGCTGCTTACATCGGCTTGGCGCGTCTTTGTCTGCCTCGAGAATCCTCAAACCGCTCGCACTGCAAACAGGCTCCATGGAGCACGGGCATCTCGCGGGCAGGCAGGCAGGCAGGCTGTTTGTATATTGAACTCGGGACAGTTTAAGAGGTTTGCGCCTTTGCGTTTAGGGTCTGTTTGCTTTATTGATTTTGAATACGCGGCTGCAATGGAACGCGGCTTTGACATCGCCAACCACTTCATTGAATACGGAGGCGAGTCAGCTGCAGGGTTCACAGTCTTTAGGCCGTGTGATTATCGGAGAGTGTGTGTGTGTATGTGTCTCTCTCTCCCTCTCTCTCTCTGTGTATGTGTGTGTGAATGCTCAATCAACCCCCATTTTGCCGTTTGTCGTCGGCGGTTTTTGTGCCTGCTTAGGTTTTGACTGCGAATGGGAGAATATGCCCTCTCTGCCGGAAAAAGAAGCCTTTTCTCGGCTGTATCTACAGCAGCAAGCGGCAGCGGCGGCATCCTTAGGGACATATGCAACTCCCGACGCAGCAGGGGCAGCAACTGCTGCCCTGACGATTGATGACACCCAAGTGCAAAAGCTCCTAGAGGAAATTCAGCCTTTTTTTGCGGTATCGCACCTTTTTTGGGGTAAGTACACCCGAAGCAGTTGATCGCAACAGAAATCATTCGGCGAACCCTTTGCATGCACGCCTGAAAACTATTTTTTTTCGACGGCAGGTTAGTGTGAGGCGCATGAATGCGAAGCAGCTTCTGAGCTGCTTCGCGCCAGGGAGACAGCAGTGGGCAAAGGAGGCGTGCCCCTGCTTCCTTTACCCGTTGCAGTGCCCTCTAAATTCAACAAACAGTTTCCACGGAAACTTCGAGCTGTCTTGCATTTCCGCAGGTCTGTGGGCCATGCTACAAGCGGCAAACTCGACCTGTGACTTCAACTTCACGCAGTGCGTCCCTAGTATCAAACTTGAAATTTTGCCTTTTTTCGGCGTTTTTGATGCTATCTAAAGTTTTAGGACGTTTCAGGACCCAAAGCAACATGTGTTTCCACGGTGTGTGTATGCACATGTGTCTATCGTATCTATGACGTTTCTGGTGTATGGGCAGGTATGCAAGTCGGCGCCTTGCAGCTCTGCGACTGTTGCTGAAGACTATGCCCGACGGCTTGTCCTCGGTGAGTGTCTCTCTTAATTGCATTATCCGCATGCGCTATTCTTAAAGACTTGATATGCACGTCTTGGGAGATTTGCTGTTAACTCGCTGCACAGCCGCCTGTGCTCATAGACGTGGACCTTCTCGTGTGTTTATATACATATATATGTATATATATATATATTCATGCATATATGTATATATGTGGGTGTATACGTTTCTCGTTTGCTTCCTGGGGAGTGTTATTCTCTTCAGGGCTCTCCTAGGGCATCAGCCTGCTCCGACTGGTCCCATCAACGTCTCCCTGCAGTGTATCCTTAAGCGTTCATAATTGTATGCACATCTTGGAGGAGACATTCCTAGACAACCCCGCCAAGCAGAAGGGCCGATTGGCCAAACAATGAACTGCTTGCTCGGACAGCACTGGCTGGATGCCGGCACGTGGTCTCTTGCGTTACGTCTGCATCCGGGATAGCGAGGGACCCAGAAACGCGCAATGCGCTCATAGGGATGAACTGAATTACCTCTTCACTTGGCGACATGTGTGGCAAAACAAACAAGCAGCATTTCGTGCATTGGCGCTCAAACAATAGGTTCGTAGCCGTAGTTTTCAGTCTTCCGGTGTTTTGTTGACCTTTTCTGTACACCCCTATGCTCTGCAACTCCCGCTTCCGCGCTGCCACCACTCTCTGGCTTTTTTGCTTCTCTCCTCAAACTGCGACCTCGTCGTGTCTGAAGGAAATGAAAAGCAGTGCGCTCGCAAACAGCAGATCCGCTTCCTGAGCGATCTGCGGCACGCACTAACCAACCGGCAGATAGATCGCGAAATTGTAGGTGACCCTAGAGGCCCCGCACTCCTCCCCATAGTATCCCCTGCCCCTTCAGTTTCGTTCCTAAGGTTACCTTGAAGCGTCCAGGTGGCTGGCTGCACCAGGAAAGGAAATGCTTCATAAGAAGTTGTACCGTCGACATGTAGATTTCTGCAGAGAGCTACCCGTCACCACAGGCTCCTGTACATATGCACATGTACAGCTACTAGGTCAGGCGCTTGTGTGTGCCTAATGTTTTTCGTATGCACATATCTGGAGGAAATTCAGCTTCTATGGCCACGAATCTAGACGATACAAAGAAAAATCAACTTTTGACACACGAGATTCCTAAGCAGGGGGCAAGCAAGCAAGCGTACACCCGCGAACACTGGTCCTTCGTGGTTACTGGCGAAATACCGTGAATTTCAAGTTCTAAGTAGGCTATGCGAGTCGTAGTGCATACATTTTCTACGACAGCCTAAGCGTGCAAAGAAAGTCGCTTCCTCTAGTTCGGCAATTGTAGCGCCTCACTGGCTGCTTGGTAAGGGTTTACGCACGTGGCGTGGAGCAGCCAGCACCTAGAGCTACCACGCGCCTTTTTTGGAAAGTGCAAATGCGGCACACCTTTTAAGCGCTCGCCGAAGGATAGCTAAGCATCACTATCGCTAACCACCAGCACTTCTGCATCCTTGTTCGCAGCCACAGCAGCAGCTGCTGCTGCTGCTAAAGGCACGCCTGCCAAGTGGCAGCCTTCGTCATCGGAATCGACAAGGATAGGGGTTGAGGCACCTCCCTCTTGTGGCTTTCCCCTAAAGTCGGTCAAAAAACACACCCAGTGACAGGCAGCACACAAACACGTAGTTGGTGCACCATGTGCAGAAGAAGAGAAAGAGGTATGCGCGCCTTTGGAATGGCATAGTGAGAAAAAGCAGCTGAACGAGGCAGTTCGCGGCACAGAGGGAGGAGCGTTGACTGGGAATCTCTCACTTAGAGGGGGCCGCACAGACAACAGCAAAAAAGCGAAGCATGAGCTAGAAGCACCCCTTACACAGACAGCCCTTTAGAGGTCGACGCGTATTAGCGAAAAAGAAGGCGAGAATAAAAGAGAGAGAAAGAGAGAGAGAGGGAAGAAGGAAAGGCACACAAACCTCCTTGCATTCTTGCACAATTCAAAGGATTCAGTGTCGCGCTTCCTTTTCTTGGGTTCATCAGCAGCAACCGGCGCACTGCAACTGTTGCTGCTGTTGCTGTTGCTGCTGCTGCTGTCGCTGCTACTGCTGCTCGCGGCAGTGCTACTGCTGCTGCTGCTGCTGTTACTGCCCTTGTCGCAGGCCGTCGTTTCAGGCTTGGAGAGCAGGAAGGCAGTTGCTGCTTCCTCCGGTTTATCGGTAATAGTAGGATCTTCGAGAATCAACAGATCGCACTGAAACTCCCCCTGAAGTCAGCAAGCAAGCTCAACAAAAGCGGCTGGTAAGGCCCATTTAGGGGGAAGGGAGCGTCGCATGCAGAGAGCGTGTGCGTGTGTGTGCGTGTGTATGGCGTTGAGAAATCGGCTTTTTAGAGTGCTGCATGAAGCGAAAAAAAGCCAAGATTGTTAGCACCACCACTCCACAGACACAGCACCAACGGCAGAACTCTAATATCAGCGGCAACAACAACAAGAAGACTGCGACTGAGCAAGCGTCGGCAACGAAGGACCTGTGAGAAGTCAGTAACTGTTAGGAGAGTGCCGCTGCTGATTTGCGCGTCTTGAAGACTTGTCGAGAGCAGCGACTGCCGGTACGCTGCAGCAAACATACATAGCGATACATGAACACTACGATTGCGAGGACGGGGAGAGGACAGGGGGGAAGGCGAAGGGGGGAGGCACCAAGGAGGAGGATGTGCGTGCAGGAGCGAGAGCAAGGCTGCCCTGCTGCGAGGCAAATCGTAAATAGTAGAGGAGAGAGACACTGGCAAGGAATCCTTCAGATGTGCGTGAGAGGCGTAAAGAAGTATGCAGCACCTCCGTGAGGCTGCACTCTGCGCACCAACCCCTCAGCAGTCTAAATTTTTGAAAACAAAACCACTTGCATTCCTCTTTAAAAGCCCCTCTTCTCGCTAGCTCCCCTGTCAGTACTGCCGCTTCTTAGCGTGCTTCAAACCACTGCAACAGCATCTACGGCGCGCACGCATGACAGACGCACCGTCGTCTTGAAGAGCCTCTTCAGGATCGATGAGGTTGCAACCGTAATCGAGGAAGGGCAAGTTGAACCCCAATGCCTCAATCAGCACGCGTTTCAGGAAATTGTAAAGATTCCAGCTCTGCATTCAAACCGATTTCAGAGGCTTGCGACTCTAAAATGCAAGTGCCCTTGAAATCCTACAGGCAAGCAGCCAGCCCCCCTCTTGAGAGCACGTTCGGCTGTCATTACACACCACCTCCTCTCCTTGGGGGGAAGAAGGAGGCCCCTCCGAGCACCAGGCAGCACCATACCAACGACGTCTTGGCAGCAGCAGACACCGCAAAAGGCACCACACACCTTCAAGGATGCGAGTTTCACGGTTAGCCGTATCTGCTGACAGGCGAAACAGCTAGCGCGAGGAGGCTCAAGAATTTCCGGCAGCAGCAGAGATCCATAACGATTTGCATGACGCCCCGTGACAAATGGTTTTACCCACACCTGCATGCACACGCAGGATTTTCGCCCAGTCGCACAGCCCTTAAACAGCGATAAATATAGAGCTACAATGACAAAGAAACATAAAAAAGCGCATGCCCCCTAGCCCGTGAACTGTGTCTTCTCGCGGCAGCAGCTCAGGCAGAACGGCTTCCAAATGGAGCCAAATGAGCTGAATAAGCTTCTGGAAACGGCTGCTCTCGGCGTGTGAAAGCAGCGGACCTGACGCGCCAAGGTGTCTCGCACAGTCTCTTTCAGCTCATCAGCACTTTGCTGCCCTTGTGGCTTTACAGCCTGCTGATGACGCAGCCTGGTCAGACCTCGGAGAAGGTGCTGAGCCTGAACAACCTGCAGCAGCAGCAACAGCCGAACACACCCCACCCCGCAGCAGCCGAACACGCCACATGCCAGACTGCTCTCGTCTGCACGAAAACCGCATTAAAAAAGAGCAAACTACATGTGCTGCCCAGATATATATATATATATTCACACACAGATATACACAGATACACGCCGATATACAGATATACACACATAGATACAGATACACACACCGATATACGCACGTAGATACAGATACACACCGATATACACATTTAGATACAGATACACACCGATATACACATTTAGATACACACACCAACATACACAGTTGCACACACCGATATACTTACACACACACATGGATACACACATAGATACACACAGATACACACACAGCCGCATTTTGATGATGAAACTCGCAGCGATGGAGGAGCCCACAAAATGTGGGGTGTGCAGCCGCCAGAGGAAGAAGGGGCAGGCAGAAAGAAGAAGGCTGTGCATGTCGTCTTTTGGAAAGATCGCTAGATAGACAGGCTAGCAAGTAAAGTGAACTCTGTCCTAAGCAGGCTCAATCGCTTTAGAGTGCGTTACTTGGAGGGCTGCTACAATTGCATTGGTGCTCGCAATCGCAGGAATGATGGATCCCGCAATCGCTTGCAGCTCCCATCGCGTCTGAAACACACAGTCCGCAACATCCACGAAAAGGAGGCACTGATGCAGAAACAGCACTGAGTAGCACTTCTGTTGATGGCGCTGCAAAGGCCACCGACTGAGGGAGTCTGAGAGAAAGAGGCTCCCCCTGAATCCGCATCCGCTGAAGGTCATGCAGCAACCCCACCCCCCCAAACACACACACGACCCAGACACCTCGTCAGGGGAGTGTCACAGATCTATTATAAATTCAGACGCAGTTTTGGCTACACATGGCCCGTGCCCCCTCCACTAGCTTGCCTTGGGGGTTATGTGGAACGTTTGCATGCGGATGCTCGCTGCTGCTGCAACAAAATCCATCGCTAAGTCATCGTCTTTATCGAAGGGCACACCCTGCAGCTGTTTCTGCTGCTGTCCTTGCGCATCCTGATTTTGCATTTCGTGCTTTTTTTTCATGAGGGAGCAGAAGCTGGAGAGGAATGCCTGTTGGCACTCCAGAGATGACCACAGTCTGTGAGCTGGAAAATCCTGCATTGTATTATGCTGCTGATGCCGCTGCATCACCTGCCGTTGCAGGTCTGGGTGGAGCTGCAAGGGGTTAGGAGGATCTTTCCCCTTCCAGTCAGTTTTGAGGATGCGTAGATCTTTTATCTGCTTGCTGAAAACCTCCTCCATCACCCGCTTCCCTGCAGTCGCTACGTCTTGCCAGTTGCTGCTGGCGGTGCTTAGAAGCGCTTCCAGCTCTGCCTTAAGGTCCACGAGAAGATTATCAGCGTTATCGAGACCGAAAAGGAGCTCATAAAGCATCTTTGCCCAGGCTACGCAGTGTTCGGGTTTTTCGGGGTGCTGCCGCAGTGTACATACAGGAAATCTGTCCTTGACGTTTGGCTTGGCTTCGCAATCGAAGCACAAAGTTTGATGCGGCACTATTGGCACTACTTGGCCGCTGTAACCTGTACTGCCTGCCTCTATGAGGGGTTTTTCTGCTCCGAGGCAGAGGCGGTTCAAGTGCCGCCGCGCCTGCAAGTTGTCGAGGGCAGCGAACACGATGTCAAACGAAGAAACAAACGAAACCGTGAAGCAGGCAGACATAATGTTGCCACGCATGCCCAGCAGCCCATAGATGCGATCACCAGAGACTAATTCATCTTCTGCTGCTGCAGAGCACTCCTGCGTTGCAGGCTGGGTGCCAGCAGCTGCTGCGGCCGCTCCAATTTTCAGGAGCTGTTGTTGCGTAAAAAGCTTGCTGCAAGCAGACGCTAAAACCTGAGCCTTGCTCATGCCAACGTGTGCCTTCCTAAAAAAGAACTGTCGATTCAGATTTGTGATATCGACGGTATCTAGATCGACAATGCCAATGCGGCAGAAGCCGCTCAGAACCAGCGTCTTGACAAGCTCACAGCCAATTCCTCCTGCCCCCACAACCAAAACAGCAACCTCAGAGGCGTCAAAGTCCGCAATAGGCTCCGAAGAAACACCCCCAACGGGAGGCGACCTAGGGGGGCCACTTTCTTCCTGTGCGTTCACGGCAACACCAGAGCCACCCCCCTCACCACCTCGCGTTGCCGCCACTACAGGAATTTCGGGGTCCAGAGGGGGTGCCATCGTGCCGCACGGCGAAAGAGAAAATAGGGGTAGGAAAGGCGGCCGAGAGGCTCAAGGGGTGTTCTAGCCGATCGCTAGGAGAACCTCAGCGAGAGAGGCGCAGCAGGCAGAGACCTCCGATGGAAAACATGACGCGAAGCCTGCAGAAGCAGTTGTTAAGCGCGGAAGAGAGGACGAAGACGAGATCGGAACCACGCGCAGCCAGCTAGCACTCGAAGCATGCAGCGCGGTACAGACGCGGCAGCCGGCGGGGCCAAGCCACAGCTGAGGCCTTTGCAGGCAGTCACGGTGCGTATTATTAAATATATCAGTGTTTCATTTCATATTTCTATGATATTCAGAAGGAAATCGGTGGACACATGCAGGGAAGGAGGTACGTAGACACCACCCTCCCCTGTCTTGTACGAGTGCGCAACGGACCCGCCTAAACCCTCGGCAGCACTCGGCTGCGGGAAAAATTCCTTGTCGCCGAGCTTATCCACATGCGTGTCAGTGCTGCAGACACATAAATAGGCAGCACAGGGGCATAGCGCTTGCGGCCTTCGAGAAGCAGTGCTCCCCCCTTTTACGGAGAAGCTTCCTTACCTCAATGTAGCGCGACCCCATAGAAGGCTCTGGCTCTTCAATTCTGTGAAGCCTAGTGGCATGTCCATATCATTCGTTTGCTTCTTGGGCTGTTCTTCTGCTCCGCTCCCCAGTTCCCCTCTTCCTTTTCCTGCGCTCTCCTCTCCCTCTGCTGCCCGTGCATGAGCCACCTTCGCCTTAGCCGCCAGTGGCCCCCCTTCATGAGAACGTTTCGCATCAGCATCTTGAATTTCCAACTCGTTCAAAGTGTGCACTACGGGTGTCAGCTTCTCCCCCCCCGTCCTCTCGACGCTCTGTACCTCCTCCATCCTTGTCTTTGCATCCGCTTCCTCCGGTGTCTCTGCCACGGCCATCGCGGGTATCTTTCCTCCATCTGCGTCTTCTGAGTTGCATTCTGCGCGTAAACTCTGCAGCGCCTCCTCTGAAAGCTTCGGGCTGCCGCCACGGTGTGCGTCTCTCGAACTACACTGCTGCTCGCCTTGCTGCTGCTGCTGCTGGCTCTCCGGAGTGAGGTGCGCATAGGTCGCCTCGGCTCCAACTGCGCGGTGTTGTGGATCCATAAACTTTACGCAGCTGAGCGGCACGTCAGCTTGCATGAAGCAAGGGGAGAGTGTCCCTCTTTGCCCTCTGGCATTGCTCCTTTCGGCGGATCGCGCGCTCGTGCCTGACAGACCGTTGGGGATGTTTCGCCGTTTCTGACCTTCACCCGAGTGCGACTCCAAGCCCATCACTCCCTTCCTCGTATCTGCTCACATACACACATAGTGATGAATAAAATGTGTCAGTCGCACACCGTGTGTTCCATCTTTGGTTCCGTGGCTCTTATTTACGCCGAGCTTGGCGTGCGAGGGAACACTGCGGGTGCGGGTGTGCGAAGTCTCACCGGCTAATGAGGCAAAGACTTTATACTCCTATTTCCCGAGACGAAACACGATAAGCAAAGCCAGGCAGGTGCAGACGACTGTTGTGACCTCCTTACCTTTTGAGAGACACTGCAATACAGCGAGATACGAAGCACATCGACATCAGATTAGACCCACAGAAATTGGTATTCCCCAGTGCACCGTACGGCATAGCCAGAGTGGCATCATGTTCGAGCCACGACGGTGCTCTCTCTTCCTGAACACACAGCAATAGTTGAGTCATGTTTTTTAATGTACACCGGCCATTCCGTCAATATATTTAAGATTTGTACGTTCGCATCATGCAATGCCCAGCGGCCGTGTGGCGCTCGTGCTCACAGCAGCTAAGGAGAATACGTGCCCTACTAGACTCACTTCTAATTTGTTGCTCCCTGTGTTTGCTTCCCCTATCAAAGTCTGAACAGATGTGAGCTCGCCCTTTGCTGCCTCGCTTTCCCCTTTGTACCACTCCAACTGTGCCTCCAGCTTAAGCAGGGAGAGTTCTAATGCATACGGCCCCTGGGCGGGTGATTACCCTCATAAGAATTGTTACGGCGCATATTTCTTCTTCCTGCTTCATAATTTTGCAGAGCAGTTGTTCTCTTTGGGACTCGAATTCATGAACTCGGAGTTGCAGCACCTCCACTTGTCGGTGCATTCCACTCTGTTTCTTTATCGCCCTTTCCCGTTGATCCTTCATCTCTGTTTCAGCCAAAGCAGGCAGCCAGTGCCAAATGAATGTTAATGGAATGTGCATACCAAGTGCCAAGCATGGGAAATACCGTCTAAGGCGCTCTTTAGGAGGGCGCACTCTCTCGAAATCCATTCTTGGTTGCCTATCACTTCCTGCATTATTTCCGCAGAAGGTGTCTTTCTTTGGTTCATTATTTGTAGATGTTCCTGTTCCTGTTTCATTGCATATAAAGAGAGCTCAGCCTCTTGCAATCTTTTCTGAGTCTCAGAGAGCAACTGCTTGAAGGCGGCGCACGCTGCCTACGGCAATCCATCATTCAGGTGGTGACGAATGAAAGACCCGCTCGTTTCCATGGGATACTTGAGGTTATAACCCCTAAGTAAGCACTTACTTTGAGTTCATTCTTTTCCCTTTGCTGTTGTTCGTTACCGTGCTGCCATCGGCTTGCCGCTTCTTCAAGCAGCTGAGCAGCATTGCGCGCAACTTTCTGGTTTTCGGGGTCGATTTCAGATATTTTACGTTTAAGCAAATTCGGTTCAGCTACAAGACGCAATTCCTCTTTTTTCTGTGACCTATTCCTCAACTTTAGCTCGTCCATTTCGCCAGCTTCTAAGCGGAACTGGCGACGGTACCGAGCAAGAGCCACGAGATCAGATTCCCTTCGGGACCGCTCCATAGATGATTTGGCTCGGTTGGAGGCAACAAAGGGGGAAAATATCAGTCGGACAGACAATGAATTCGCAAAATTGAAGCCGACCTTCCTTCGAGCCGGATGCTGCAATGAATGCAGTTCGTAAATAACTGTGCATACACTCGGACCCCTAAGAAAAATATAGCTATCCGTGTCCTTTTGCATTCCGGCTGAAGATCTATGATATGCCTACAGGCTTCATGGTCCTCGCGATTCTGTGTGCGCAAAGTTGTACAGTAGGTTTCCGTGTCATGCGACGCACACCAATGATTAAGGGCTTTTACCTTAGGCTCAAAGTACGATCTGCACGAGAAACGCGCGGAAGCGCATCGGCAGTGCCTCTATGTCCGTATTCCCGGTTTAATTTCAGTGCACCCGACCTCCCCTTCCACATTTCCTGCTACATACTACTGCTCCCTTCATTCCTGGCAGCACCTTCTGCCAGTCTAACTCAATATACCCAAGTGAGGAAGAGTGGAACACAGCAAAAGCTAGGGTGACGAGGGTTCAGCATCTTCCCACGGACAAAAGGCACACACAGCGCTGCTTTCTCGATGTGAGGAGGAAGCGTCTCAGCCCCAAATACGGAGCAAGCCGGCTGAAAAAATTCTGGTGTAAGTATTTTAATGACAAAAATAACAGCTTTTGAATTTCATGCCCTCATTTAATCTAGTTTATTTCTTCTTTTGCTGCTCCGCAGCCTCCCTGTGCACAGTTGCGCGAAGGGAGAAAAGAGGTAAGGACCCCCCTTAGTAGCCCCCCCCGCACATCGGTTTTCCTCATTGAAAAATAGACCAGTTCCCTCTATCTGGACTCAAATTCAATACTATACTGTTTCCGAGTGTCTTCTTGTGCTTTGCTTAGGACCTATTGGTGCTAATTTCGGGCACAATCTCGCTCCCCTGGCGTGTCGGCCTTCCACGTTCAAACCGAAGAAATCCTAGTGTGCGCGCATCTTTGTCTAGGCAATTGAAAACTCCTAGTTGCATTCCTGTGAGTTCTATAAGCATTTAAAGTGGACACAAGTTGAATCCCCCTGGCTCTACCCCCCATTAATTCCCCACCCCCCGTCCTATCGGAACCCCCGGCTTTTCACTCCACCCCGCCTTGCACTGCACTGCGTGTGCGCATAGCACACATGTCAATCCTCCACGCCCTCTCGGCTTCTTCCAAAGTCTGCCGGTCCCCCTCTTCACACCACAAGCAGCAGCAGAGGCAGCATTCGGAAGAAACGGATTCACGAGCAGAGGAAGAAGGCCTCTTGGCAACGGAGAGCCCCTCAAGAGGACCTTCAGACGACGAAGCCATCAAGACTCCTTTAAACCTTCGGAGCAGCGAAGGTTCCGCGTTACGCTATAGCCGGCATCCCCGTTCAAGCAGCAACAAGCGAGCTGCCGACAAGAAGAGGGAGAAGCAGCGACAGCAGGCGCTCCTTCAGAAGTCGGATCTCATGAACACCTCTTCTGCACGTGACAGCACCGAGCCAAGGCTTGCAGGCCGACTAGAAGGAGGCAGCCCTCTGCAGCATCACGGAGGCGACAACTCGGGAGGCTCCGAAGCGTCAGCAACAGCGGCTGCACCACCTAGACCAGAAGGCACAACAGCAGCTGCAGAAAATCCTCTCGTTGTGCCCGCAGCTGCCCTTCCGTCAGCATCCTCGAAAAAAGAGCTGTGTGAAACGGAGCCGAGTTCAAAAATGCCAGATGCGCAGAAACTTTCCGAGGCACCCTATCTGGGATTTCTCCGACGGGGAGAGCACCACGAGCGCTGGGCATGGCTGGCGGCTGTAACCGCTGAAAAAACGCAACAGCTGCTTCAGGATCTGCAGCAGCAGCTGGTGCAGCATCCCTCATTTCTTGCGGCTATTCCCTCGCTCATCATTGCGTCAGTGCCGTTTATGGGCCTCTTATGCGTGTTGGCAGCAAGCCTTCTCCCGGTACGGTCACTTTGGAGTTACTGAGGGGATATGGGAGTTGCCGTCATGCAGGATTTAGATTTGCAAGATTGACTGCTTGCACCTTCGTTTGAGGCAAGGGAGGCATAAGCCTATCGTTCTTGAGGGGCTCCGGCTTGTAAGTCTTATGGGAGGAGCACGGCGTGGCTTCTGCTTTCGTCTTCATGCGTTTCCGCTGCCGCCTAGAGAGCTCGTAATGTTTCCGACTTTTGGCTTTCTGCAGCTCTGCGGGTTCATGCCCTTGGCGCTCGGAGTGTACCTACTGTGGGGATGGCTCGGCGACGTACTGCAGGTAATCTCTGCAACCCGGAAAGCTTTCTTCAAAGTGCTAGCTACACTTGGTGTTTCCGGGTCTAAGGCGCATTTAGCGAGTAGTTTCAAGGAGCTGAATGCTTGCGGTTCGGCGTTGGGGTATGGGGGTTGTGGTGCGCTCAGGGAAGGGGAGGACACAGCCAAGGCGTCCGGATCGCTGCTATCTGTGCTGTGCTGCTTTTCCCGATGCTGCTGCTGCCCGCTGCGGGCTTCTTTGCTGCCGGTGGTTTGCTGCTGATGCTGCTCCTGCCGCTCCTCTGCTTCGTTCTCCCCCTAGGGATTATTTGCTTCCTCCCAGTGGCAGTAAGTGCTGAAGTTAGGGCCGTGGAACTGGCTGCAAAACGTATTGCGCTGTTCTCTAAGTCTGAAGTGCGTTGTGCTTGCTCGCGTAGCCAGCCCGAAGGATTTCGGCATGCCTGCGTGTCTCTGTCCTCATGCTGCAGGCGGTAGCCACGGCTTTGTTGCTCGCCCTTTCGCTTGTTGCCTTTCGAGGCGAACGCTATAACCGAGTCGTCGACAAAGCCGCATAATGTAGTTTTACGCGCGGAGCTGCTTGCAGGAGTTGGTACATAGGGTGTATGTACTCCCGTGCACGAGGCCATATAGCGCGCAAATGTTCCTCCTGCGTTCGTTCCCAGCCATACCTGCAGGTGTTTCGCTGGTTCTGCCCACTTTTCTACCGGGCGCTTACGACTGCGGCTTGCATTTCGTGGACGTACCCAGCACCACATTTGCCCCTGTCGTTGTATGTACATGATTGTTCGTCTTAAGACACACAGGCCCTGAGTTTCGAGGAGAGGGAAGCGTGTGCGTGTTGCTAGGTTTCGCCACTGTGTAGTTCGGGCCCATTAGACACCCTGTCGGTGTTCGTAAATACTATTGTAAATATACGCATGCATCCATGCATGCAGATATGCAGATATACAAACATTCCTGCATATTAGGGCAAGGGCATCGGTCGTTTGCTTCAGTTCATACAGCCAGCGCATAGGTATGTGAGCAGCGATGGAGGCTGGCAGTCTTTTGCTAGAAAAATGTTCATACACAGCACAACTTTACATCGAATTCCATTGAATGAGGTTAACTGATGCCTTCATGGCTACATGTAAGTGTATATATATCGGCATAAATGTGCTTTTCTGCACACATATACCATATGTATACACTTGTGCGCCAGTGTGTGTTAACATATATTTATGTACATATGTGCTTAGTCTTGTACACATGGTATACATCTGCGCGGCCGTGTGCCCACGGCTATATGTGTTTTTATATCTCTGTGTGCATGTGAATATGCGTGCTTACGCACACGCGTGCGTTGCACACGAAGACAGTCGAACGGTTGCTATTGTCTCTTGATTGTAGATGACCCTGCAGAGTAAGCGTATACAAGGAAAACAGAAGGACTAGTGCTGCAAGCAGCATGGGCCATCCGAAACAGCACGTAAGAGAAAGGTGTAGATCGAAACCGAGGCAGGAAGTGGTACACGCATAGAGAATAGGACGGTATAGCTGTCAGTAAGTGCGGATAACCGACGTAGTTTCTTAAGCAACCCTGGATAGTGCAGCTGTTCGCTACCTCTACACGGAAGACGCCTTGAGTTCCACGGTGTAACCAAAAGGAAAGTCTGGTGCAGAGGCCCTGTCAGTCGATACGTTTTGGGAAGCAGATGCCAAAAAATTAACAGCCGACTTTCCGCCTGCGCTATACCCTCATGCCTAAAGAAGGGTTATTTAATTATGCACACGCGAGTTGCGGAGCGCACAAACGCACTGTCTTCCCTCTAAAAGCTTCTTTCTCGGCGACAATATGGCTCTCCCAGGGAATGACGATTATGGCCTTATCCATGCCTTCTTGCTCTTCCTGAATTCGCTCAATCGAGCGCCTTCTGGTTTCCAGTCTGGTTCGTGCAGTGAGGCATCTTCAGCCACACGTGCATATTCCTACAGCAGCCGGCGCCTCTCACAGCGCCGTTTGCCAAGCCATTGACACCACGTGCCTTTGAGCATACGGCAGTGCCGACAAGGGCAATTCTTCGCCTTAGAGCGTCGGGTCACTATTAGTGCATTGAAATGCGGCTGTGGGGAAGCCAGAGGTGGCACTCCAAAAGTCCACGACTGTAGCAATACGCAGCTGGCGCCTTCATGCTCTACGCAGTCAACGTTCTGCATGGTGAACATCACCACAGCGAGAGGCATGCTGTTTCCCCAGACTGTTGCCTTCTGCGTTGGCTTGCAGGTCAAAGAACGAGCTCCGTAACCACGCTCCGGGATTATCATTGCTGATGTCATGAGTCCCCAAATGTAGAGTGTTCAAGAATTTGCACCCCGATCTCTCCGTCATGATGATACATAGACATTTTGTAGTGCTTGATACAGGCGCTGCTATATGCATGGCTGACTCGTATTATTGGCTACAATCATGCAGAGAGACGACGACGCAACCATAAAACGGGTCCCTTCAATGTTCACGTTTCTGTACAGTCCCCTAGTCACCCGCACGCAAAGAGCTGCCAGAAAAAGAATGCTTGGACGACTAGTTTGCCATCTTCGCATTAAAACGCAGCCGTGTAAGATTCGCTCTGGATATTGGGCGGAAATATGCCATGAACAGAGGGGCTGGCATATGCATTACCGATAACTTGGCTCTTACACGCGGCACTAATTACACCTTTCAAGCCATGAGGGACTACGGCTTACAGCTTTAGTGCAGGTCTTTACCGCGGGCTGCGAGGAGGTGGACGAAGAGAAGGCTGAGGCATTTCATAGGGCAGGGGGTTCGAATGCTCCAGGATAACGCGGGCTGTCCTTAAGCACAATTAAAATGACATCGTCACAATGATCCAAAATCGAAGGTTTGCTCCTGACCTGAATGCGGCACAGCATGTGCATGGGGCAAATTGGAAGAATATGCTAGCTAGCTTTCTGATAGCCTTCATGTGCATAGCACCAGGCCTTCCCGCCGAAGTGCCTGTAGAATGAGCGCCACCCAGCCTACAGGCGGATACCAAACCAAACGCCTTCAGATGCAGCAAACCCCACCATCTAGCGAGGTTTAACGATGGGCCCTCATTGTTAAACCTCGCATCTTCCTACTCTGTACCCGTGAGTGTGGCCTCTTAAATGGAACTCTCCGCAGCCTTACAGATTTCCTACGAATGGGCGCACTTCACGGGAATTGTTGGGAACTACTAGTCTAACCCTTTTCTATAGGTCGGATTCCTCAGTATAACGGGGTATTAGAAGTAGCCATGGCCATAACAATATATGCGAGGACGCTCTCTGGCGAGCTCTATGCTTCCGCAGGTTTAGCCAAAGGACCTGTAAATCTGCAACGAGCAGAAACCTTCGTCGCACGTTATCTGTGATGGAGAGTCATTGCCCCTTCAGTGATCTGTGCGACTCTTTAGCTCTTGTGTTCACTTGTAGCCTCGGCAACATGAAATTAAGCTATAGAGAATACTAATACTCACGTAGTCAACTCCGCCAGCCAGTCATGTACCCTCTGCTGGCTGCATTGCTTCTATGCCCTGTACGGCGCACCCACTAAAGGGAATTTTAGCTGCATAACGTTATCATAGTATACTACCAAGAATGGAGATCAACCACAAATCACAAGACTTTAAGTTTTGGACGGGGGGAATTTCATGCCGTGCAAGACAACAGGAGCTCGACACACAGTAGTACTTACTTAGCACGAAACGATTTCTGCAGAGTGCCATCTAGCTGGAAGAAAAGAACATTGTACCCCTTGCACTCAGCTGCTACTGGGCAACGCAGAAGCCATCAAAGTCTAATAGAAGTACAAAACGCATCTACCTTTCTCAAACTAGCAAACTCCGACCTCTGCAGCGTCGGTGATGCCCAGAGGCAACGATGTAGTGGTCTGCCAGAAATGCAAAAAGCTTCCAGGCAGCTCGAAGGGTCCTTTTTGCTTAATCGAGGTTCCAAAGGGCAGAGTGGGTTGTTCTGTGTCTGTTAAGATAACCTTATCAAACGATGTGGTCTCTTGCTCGGGTTCAGCTCGGCAAGTCACAAAACAACGCCAGGGAAGCACGCAGGCTCACATGTTGAATTACAAAGAAGGATGCTCTCAGTATAAAGGGAATAATTAGCCATCATGCATCGTTTGCGCATATACATATATATCTGCCCCAGGTATGTCTCAAGTGCACAGGGTCACCAAACAGGTTCATCCATTTCTTACTCGTAACTTGGAACGCATGTAATAAAGTGCAGGTTTTGGCGTGTGCACTGTAGCTGAGTGCCTGGTCCTTCGTGTGCCATACATGTGACTTGGCTATGACGATTGCACCAAACTGCTACCTGAGTGTTCTTTAAAAGATGTGCACACGTAATGCAAAAAGCGTTCTTCACATAGAGGAATTTGAACATAGGAGCCAGAAGCAGTTGCATCATGTATAGTACTACAAGCCTGGATATCTATTTTGTATTCCTCGCTAACCAGGTAATTAGTCACTGATCAACCAGGTAGCTTGAAGCTGAAGACAAGGAGCATGCAGGAGCCGCATACATATAGCTGCTTGCGGATTTGCTTTTGCCGTACCTTTCCGGCATATCGACTTCCATTCCCGTCATTTTAAGGCAGTAGCAAGCTGTTTTGCTTAAACGCTAGTTTCATCTAGTTGACCGTTTGGACCAAATAATGGCTCTAACTGTTCGGTTAAGTTTTGAGTCGCTTGCTTGGTCGTTCGTATATACTATCTGTTGTGAAGTGGGTGTACACCCAGGCTACAACAGTAACGACTGCTTGTTAAGTTGCTCTGTACGAATGGACGCAAAGACTCAGATTCCTTAGAGGGTAGGGCAACGCGCACTCTATCCGCCCCCCATACCCTCAGGCCCGACCCCTTTAAGATGAATAAAAAGGAGACAGGAAAAAGTCCTCGAACCCGAAACTTTCGATACCTTCCCGTTAAGTTTTGGTACGATGTTGAGGCTAGGTACCTCTCGCCTATGGCGCCACTTGCTACAGCACAACTACACACGTGGAGATGTGTATTTCTACGGAATCCGTTCGGCCGCCTCCAAGGGAAGAGTCTAAGGCTCCATTCAAGACTATCCGTGGGGTGGCACTTAATTTAGGACTAGAAGCAAACTCACCAGAAAGCTACTAAGACTTTCAAAAAAGCTCTCTGAGGCCGTCCGCCTCTGAGGTCTCAATATATATGGGTAATGGGCCAGTTGGGATGCACGTGGCAGCACTATATGAGCACTCCGAGCACTCGTGGCTAGTTGCATGCAGCATCTAGCTAGCACGCGCATGCACCATTGCTGCATACTGTCATAGCTACCTCGCGTTGCTCTGCGATAAAGAAGGCATACAAACAGGCAAGCCAAATACTCATTTCTTTACTAGATAGTTGCTTAATAGAACTGGCGTGTGACGTGGTACGAAATCCTCAAATACAGTTTCCCCCGCTTTAACAAAACCCAAGCCTGAGCAGCCTTTGGGGGCTTTTGCAATGTCCTCTGTGACGCTTTCAGCAACGTTCCACCTTTTATGATACCCATAGACATGCGTATTTTTAGCCCAATTCATATACAAGATGGCAGAAGCTATCAAGTGCTGTTCAAGAAAGGTCTCCTTCCCTCTTATCCCTTCCGTCCGTACCCATCACGGATTTGGCAAAAGCGGGGGAGGCAATGCAACCGTGCGTTGGCATCGTGATGCCGTCTAAGCACTCCGAGCACACTTTCGCATACGGCCGGATGCAGCAACTCATGCCGCGCGTACACAAACATCGATATTTTCCGTATCGAAACAATTAACTCTACTCTGCACCCAGCTGTAGGTACAGCCGAACCAAATTACACTTGATTCCAAACGAATTCCTAACAAGCCATTACTAATGCACGCAAAAGTTATACACGTAGCTTTAAGCCAGCTACAATATGCCCTCCCAAAGCGCCTTCAGCGAAGAACTCGCTAGCCTATAGTGTCGTTGCGCGTCTGGCGTCCCCGGCAAGGGTGTTTCTTCGACCTACTGATGGGATTTGCAGCATTGGAGAGACCGAAGCAAAGGGTAAGCTGAGGTTTAGGGCTCAGAAAGAGTGAAAGCACAGTCAGTCACGGTCTAGCCTTTTCTCGTTTGCCTGTACACGCGAGGTGTCTGTGTGGCGCCCATCAGATTGGGACCCCGCACTTTACAGCAAAAAATGTTTCATCTATCAAAATTGGATAAGTAACTTTTCAGGTCCATGCACCAGAGCACTCAACATTGGACGGTATGAGGCACGGCATCCAGAGTATCTGGCTGAAGCATCCCTGGTGTATGTACACTGCATACGGCTACGTACACACGAACAGAGCAGACATGCGGCATTCATGTCCTCTATAAATCTGGAGATGTGCAAGAATTTAATAATAATTGGCATCTAAAAGCGCAGGACAGGAGAGTAGACCACTTGGGGCAGCTTTTTTTCTGGGGCCCCTGTGTCAGTCAGTTCGGCGAGCTGGCATACTGCTAGAGGTGTGCATTCTTGCCGCCTTTTTAAAACTTTAATGAAGCACTTGGAACGAGTGCAATGCAAAGGAGGCTGTGCTTCAGTATGCATGTATGACGCGGGGCGTGTCAGGATTTCTTTTCCCGAAACAAGGAGTCCGCATAGATTAACCTCTTGGACCCCCTCCCCTCCCGGCTTTTGAATGAGTACAATCGCACCGCAGCCTCCGTGTGTCTCGGCGACATAGGCGAGCCGGTGCTGCTGCGTTTAATCCCACTCCTGCACTTCACACAGACTCAAAGTCGCTCTCCCGAAGTCTCTTGGCCGTTTGTGCGTTCCCCCGATTTTGCCTACAGGAACTTAGAAGAGGCGGTCTGTGCTGCCGGGGAACGTGTGTTTGTGTGTGTCGTTTGCCCGGGTGCGGCAGCAAAAGGAGAAGGGGCAGCAGCTACCCAAGCAGCACCGATTGCATGCAGCTTTCAGTCGAGCCGAAGACACCCTGAGAATGGCGGATCCCGAAGAGACTGGCGCGGGAGCGTCTCCCTGCTTGGGACCTCCTCCAGTCTTGAACATCTATCACGCGGCAGTTAGCAATTTGACCGCAACGCAGCAGAAGAAGACCCTGCTGCTGAAGAAAAAAATTCGGATGGAGCATGCAAGGCTCGCGAAGCTCAAGGAGGCTAAGAGTAAGGAGCTCAACAACCACCAGCAGCAGCAAGAAAACGCTCAGCAGAGCCAACAGCAGATACAGCTGACGTCTCCGCTGACTGGCTTCGAAGTTCATTGGACAGACGATCCACAAAATCTCGTCAGGTGATTCACCTCTCTGTCTGCTACTGCCTGTGTTGGGTCTACTCCCAAGCAGCTAGCTAAGGCGCTCAGCCAGCGCGCATCTGCCTATCCTTGTGCGTGCCCGCTTCCCACGACGCACAGCCTCATTCGTCCCTTTTTCCCGCCTGCTCTAAGGCCTTTCTGCTTGGCCGCTTCAGGATGCTTGTTGCTCGCGAGTGGCACGTCCCTCGTGCCTTTTCTTTGTTACTAGAGGCTATCTCTATACGGCGAACGCTGCATCCCGAGAGGATCAAGCCGCAAGAAGTCAAGAAAGCAGCAAAGGCAGGACAGATCTACCGCCGCGGGTTTGACAGGCATGGTCATCCTCTCATCTATGTCTGGTGAGGGCGTTTGGATGCTGTTTTCTGCTCGAGTAGCTGTTGTATGTTCATCCGCAGCGATCTGAAATCATGCACGGGGGAATCCCAGCACGCTGCCCCCCCTCTGCTTGTGACATCGTAGAAATGTAGTATATCCACCCGAGGCGAACGTGAAAAGCAGCTTAGCCGCGCGTTGCTGCCACTTCAAAGGCCGCCCACCCATGATCTGTCTCAGACACAAAATCTTCCCTCTCCAGAATTCGAGCCGTAACAACAGCACCGGTACCACCCAGAGCGTGCGAGGAGTTGGTGCGTGTGTGCTCTGGACCCTCAGGCCGGCACTGAATGTGGAAACTGCGGATGAGGAAGCTTCCATAAAGCTTCTGGTGTATACACTCGAGAGAGCGTGTCAGTCACAAAACAGGCATCGAGGTGTATCGGCGACAGGGTTGTGCTTTCTCATGAATTACAACGGTTACTCGAACGCGAACCAGCCATCTCTGGGAACCGCCCTTAGATTCATTCAAATCTTCCAGTGTATCTACGCTGAACAGCTCGCAGCCGCATATATCGTGGACACGCCTTGGTACTTTACTGTAAGTGCGGTGGCTGCTGCAGCTTATTTTTATGCGTCTGTTGGTTGCTCGCGCTGTCGGCTGTTTGCTCTATCTCCCTCTCTGCATGCACTCCTATGGGTTTCGCGTCACGCCCCTTATACGCACCCGTATTCTTTCAGTTGCAGATAGTCTTTTAGGATGTCACCCCGAAGTAATGTTGCCTTGTGCAGTCTTTGAAAGAGGGGGTAAGGGCTGTGTAGGCCTGTCTGTGTGTGCCTTTGTGTGTGTGTTTCTTTGTGCGTGTGTCTTTATGTGTGTGTGTCTGTGTGTCTGTGTCTTTGTGTGTGTTTCTTTGTGTGTGTGTCTTTGTGTGTATGTCTTTGTATCTTGTGTTTGTGTGAGTTTGCGTGTGTGTATGTGTAGTTGTGTGTATGTTGGGGTTTAGGGCTTCGGGTATAGGATGGTGTCCACCTCTCCTATGATGTTATATTTCCAAAGTTTTCATTTTATGCCTCGATGCCAGCTGTAATTCCCCCTCCTTGGGGTTGCGCGGTGGATACACTGAGATGGTGGTGGCCAGAGAGCCGCCACACAGCAGAGCCACTTATTGTTATTCCCTGTGGATGACATTATGTCTGGGGTGTACTACTGCGCACGAATGCATATCCTGCAGACCTTTTGGAATTGCATTTCCCCATTTTTGCCAACTCGAACCGCCGCGAAAATAAAGTTTCTTTCGACTGGTAACCCCGAAGACGTGCAACAGATCTTCAACGCTGTGCGCTCGCTTACACATCCGGCCCCTAGTCTCCCGACAGACACCGAGACTTGTACATGCCCGTAGGCTTGAGGCAGAATGAATACCTATCCTTGTCTTCGTACCGAACTTTCTTTCTTGCTTCCTTGTGTCTCCATACAAGTATAGCTTCGATTTCATCGCCTGAATGGATGTGTCTTGGTGTCTTGCGCCACCTGACCTCCCCTTTCCCTGTGGCGTTACTCTTGACCTGCAGATACACCCCAGATACGTGGAAACCTGGATCCCTGGCGGGCAGGCAACAGCGAAGTATGACCACGACGCCTACTGGGCTGAAGAAGCAAAGCAGTTCGAGACATACATGAAGTTTCTGCAACGCGAATTCTTCACGAAGACAATGGCGCAGCGCTTGGCGGAAAATGCCGCCTTTGGCGCTGCCATAGGCCAAGGGAAATCTGTTGAAGAGGCCGTCAAGATTGCACAGAGTGTCACTCCGGATAAACGGCCATCAGGTTTGTTTGTTTGCTCGCTCGCTGTGTTGGATGGCCCTAGTGCGAATTTTTTCTCGGCTGGCAGTTAGAGCTCTGTGCAAAAAGCCGTGGATCACTGCTGAAAACACGTCTATGGAGTTGATGCGCTTTGTCATGAGCGTCCAACTCTAGTTTGCTTCTGTGGTGCTTCCAGAGGATGTCCAGACAACAGAGACTCAGGAGGGAGAGGAGGAGGAGGCAGAGGAAAGCGAAGAACCCGAAACCCCCGAGTCGTTAGAGGACGAACAAAAGAGGGTTATGTTGCAGGAGGCTCTGAAGAAACAGCAGGCCTCCTCAGCAGGTTCTCCGTCCGCCGTCACAATGGAAGCAACCACGCCCGCATGATTATACGCGATGTCTTTCGAGTTGTCCTTTTTCGAGAAGTCTGTCTTCTGCTCTAATGCAGTGAATTATGAACGAACAGCATCCAGGCGCGACTTTCGGGTTTGAGTTGTGTCTTGTGATCTCTCCTCGACCTTAAATGTGGCCATGCTGAATTTCCCTAGGCCGGGGGTGGCTTGCAGCCTGTTGTTACGCTTAGGATACTGTTGACTGTATGCGGCTGGGCTGCTGATTGCAGCTCCGACATGTCATGTATCTTTCAAGGCAAAGCACAAAACGGAGTACTGCGCACTGCAGCACGCGTATTGGACTCACAAAACCTTGAGAAATATGGCCGGTTCCAGGGTTTCATCTGCAAACACATATCCTTAAGACTCCTAGAGTAGGCGTATTGAGGGCGTAGGGTTCATATGGTGTAGCGGAAGATGCTACACCTTGTCACTCTCCACTACAGTTGTTGCACTTCACCAAGAATCTGGTAAGCATTGACAGATAGTTTTGTTCCCCTATTTCTCTCGAGGCCGAGAACTGCTAGCTTTATGAAGACCGCACTTTTTTGTGCATGTGCACTAGATGCTGGGTAGGCATATCTAGTTGTGAATACCCGAAGTACTTGGAAGGGGGAGCTGCATACACCCTAGCAGTCATTTTCCTTCTATGTTGGGAACTCTGAGGGGCGCAGTCAAGAAAAGACAAAATTCTCTAGGAAGAGACTCGATAACTTAAGACTAGGTTTACCCTAAATCCGGAATTAATTGTCTCCATATGGAGATCTTGGATGCATCCTTACAGTTGGTAGCACAGCATGGTCCATGTCTCCCCTCATTCTCTGGATTTGGATGCAGTGGTCTACCAAGCTTTCTTACAACTGGTCTTGATGTCATTTGTTAATTCGATAATTCGATTTGCTCTAGAAACAATATGCGATTTTACAAAAGCTCGGGCCATGAAAGGTGACGGTGCTACAACGCCTGTTGGGGCGGCACAAGCCGGCATGCATGCTGGCGTAAACTTAGTAACTCCACAGCTAATGAAAAGGCGTGATTCGTCAGCCGACAAAATGCTTATGGGTGCGTTGCTGGCTTTATGCCGAGTAGAATCGTATGACAGCCATAAGGATGGAGAGCTGCTTGAGGAGTTCATTGGCAGGTCCAACATTTGTCTTGCTTTTTTACACCCCAGATGAAAGGAAACGATTGCTATCTGAGGCTGGTTTTTTGGGGAAAAGCGCTTTGCTGCTGGCTCTCTATATATGTAGAGGAAGGTGTCTGCTCGCAAGGATTACTACAGTCGTCAGACGCTAAAAAGCTCCTCCAATAGTGGTCAACCTGGGATTTGCCCCAAGTGTCTTGCGAGGTAGAAATAGGCTGGCCAGTCACTCTGTTGTTCAAGGAGTCGGTCGGTGGGACTCCCACAGAAGCTCGACTACTTCAGACTTCAGAAGCAAGTGAGGGCACCGCCTGTACGCTTGGCTGAGACGAAAAAGGCAAGTCGAGACATTGACCAATAGATACCGACATTGTTTCAACAAGCCCTAGCCTACAGTACAAGGCGAGCTAGAAGGAAAACCAGAGACACCGGTGTTCCCAACTAACCCTTGCAGACCCCAACAACCCATCTCCTACTAGTATTGGGAATTGGGTTGTGTAGT